ATAATCTGTTATGGAAAGACTTCACGATTACTATCTCGCGATTTCAATTTCAACTCTTATAAGAGAATTGTGATTACTCGATAAACATGGTTTGCTATTTATTGTTCATGTTTGTTGTTTGCATTTGTCAAAAAGGTCATAAAGACAGTTGATTTGGGTTGATTTTCTGTCACCAAAAAAGGAAGAAAGGAAGAAATAGAAGAAACGATACAACATATTGTTTGGCTTGTCAATCATGTCAAGTAAAGCAAATCCGTATTGAATTTTATCGTGTTCGTATCGAAAAATATTCAACTCATATCTGATTTTTATATTAATTTGTGTCAAACGAATTGTGTTATATCAGATTTATGTAGTGTAAAATTAGTATATATTAACGAGCCGTATCGTATTGTATATTTTTTTTATTGGTTTTACTCGTACCTAATTTATTTAGTGAAAATTAGGGTTGAGTTCTCTTTAAGGGACTTATAGTGAGTTTAGTCCGTTAAAAAATCTTTTTTGGAGGTACGTCTATTTTTAATCTTGCTAATAAGTAGTTAACTTCACTATTTTTTTAAAAATCCTAAATACCCTTCATTGAAAACAATTTTAAATTAGTTTCTTAACTTAAGAATCATTATTCCTTAATTCATTATCAATGAAAATATGCCATTAATTTTTTTTTCTTAAATTTAAAATTCAAATTCAAAGAACAAGTGATATAATCTCTCTTTCTCTCTTTATATATATATATAAAATTTTTATCATATTACTGTTCATGTTATTATTTTTGTGAGCATGTTACTATTTTTATTTTTTTAAATATTAATATTCAATATTAATATTTTTTTTTGAATATTTTTTTTTTGTATTTAAATGTTATTACATTTTTTGTGTTTAAATGATATTATTTTTTTTAATGTTATTATATATATATATATATATATATATTGGACTCTAGCTCCATAGAATAATATGCTACTGCTGAAACACGAAAGAATTGAAATTTTAAATCAAAACACTATATATAGATGGTACGAAATGCCTAAGACAGCCCTACATCCCATTCACCTACTCCTTTCTTCCTTTTTTGCACCCTCTCTAAACCATCCGAAATCGGATTCCCACTATATATATAAATAGTCATATAGATAGATTTGAGAGGGAGAATTTTAAATTTTTAATGTTAGTGTTCAAATTTATTTTAATTAAACATGTCATAACTAGTAGGGGTATTTTGGAAAAATGGAGATCAAAATGGACTTATCACAAAATAAATTTTCTTGATGAACTTATCATCAAATAAGCCTACAAAGGGGGACCAACCTTTAAATTTTTCATTTATTTATTAATTGTGTTGTATCGAGTCCACTAACCCCTAATATAGCATATCCTTTTCCTGTGCCAAATTTGCACAATATTTCCTTTTATAAGGCGTTGGACAGTGGGCTGGCCTTGCCTGTGGCCTACCCAAACCTACAAAAGGCAAGGCCCAAATGAAAAAGGTGGTAAGTTTCAACAACCCCCATCATGGTTGATCCATGTCGAAAGTAGGGTTTTTGAACCCCTCTACCTCCAAGTTCAAAAAAACAAAAAACCCTTCTACCTCTAGAAACATGATGGCTATGTATTTCTTCAGATTTGGCACTTGTTTTTCAGACCAAAATTTTGAAGCTCGTTTATATTTTAGTCCGACAATTTTACTTAGCCAGCACCACGTTGATCCCCCTTTTTTTGGGGGGGATAATTGCTTTTATCTTTGTGTGATTTTGGGTAGAAACACTTTGTTTACTTAATATTTAAAATTATGCATATTATTCTCTTATAGTTATGTACCAAAATGAAGTAATTGATGTAGTTAAAGAAATTATAAAATTATAATAATACCCATATTATAAAATCAAACTTTTGATCTGATTTACTCCTACTCATGTAATGGATGAAAATCACTACCAAGGTTAAAACATAAATCTTCCACTATTTAACATGCCTAGTCTTTTCTTCCCTCAAGTGAAACTTTTGATTTGAGACCAAAAATCACTTACTCATGTTTTTCTTTCATTTTTTTTTTTTTTGATTTGGGATCGATGCCCTAGCTATTTGAGTATTACATCATATAATATTTAAGGTTATTTTATGCATTTAAACAATGTTCTTTGGGAGGGAAATAATGAAAACATAGATCACATAATGTTTTGCGCATGTGAAACCCACTATTTGTTAACTTGGATAATAAAAGTAAGAATTTCACTTTGATAAATAACTATACTGAGCAATGTATATAATTTTAAATATCAATAAGGTAAAAATACTTCTAGTTGAAACATAGGAGCTAAAAAATAATTAACCCTTTTTTCTTTTTTTCCCAACATTAACATTATGGAGCTTTTACTCCAACCCGTAGGGTTGTACAAAAATATACTCAAAAAGAATTGTTTTCAAAGTATTTTTCAAATTCAATTACTTTTAAAAATGTCATTTAGAATGACGTTTTTTAAATCCAACTAATATTTTTAGACAAAAACATCAAATCAATTGATATTTCTTATTGCAAGATAAAAGTTATACCGCTAAAAAAGTTAGTTGGATTGACGTTTTTAATAGAGGGGTCGTGCTTGGACAAATTTATGACCAAAGGCCAGGGGAAAACTACAGGTGAATTCGGATTGGAAAATACGAGCGGTCATAAAAGGAACTTGAGAGAGAGGGTTTTTGAGTAACGGCTAGGGAAGTTGATGACTTGCCACCGGCCATCGAAAACATTGAGCCAATATCTGAGGATCCATTTCCAGCCATCAATATCGGTAGAATCAGAAGGATCCCCACAGTTGAGAAGAATTTTATCAGTCAGGACATAATCGGCGGCTGAGATGAAACGAATGACCAAAACCCAGAACCAGGGGCGGAGCCATGTTGTTTAGGGTGAGCACTTTAGTTATACACATTAATATTTTTTCTCATAACCAATCATACTATATAATATATTTATATTTATTATATTATATTTAATACATGAAGTCTTTTTAACATAAAAAATACCAAAAAAAAATGTATATTATCCGGGGCGCAGCCATTAATGTCTATGAGGGGGCAAAATATAATTGGTATAAAAAAATATTTTTTCGAAATTGATACAAAAAAAATTAGTTCAAGAATGACAAAAAAATAAGAATCAAGATAAAATTATTGTGAAATAGTAAATTCAATTTTTATTTAACCAAAACAAAATCCTAACAAAAAGACACAAAATAATTTTTTTAGTATATTTTAACCTAATTATATCTTTATAATAAGATAGCTCACAAGTTGAATTTTATCCTATATATATTGTTCTCCCAAAAAATATTGCATCACTCATTTTTATCACATGCTCAATTATTTTAATATTTGATTAATTTTTAATTTAATATAATTTTTATTTCTAACATTATTCCTACACGATAGTATACATATGTTAAATTTTTTCTTTTATCAAATTATGTATTTTGTATATGAATTAAATGTAAATTAATTTTTTATTAATTTTCTATCAATGCGCACAATCACAAGTCTGTTGTAAAATTATTCTTTATTTAGTTGAAAAATTTGGTTGAAATTATTATCATCTTATAGAAAAATTCCCTAATCAAAATAGTTTGAAATATTTATAGGTTACAACCTTTTGTCTTTTGTATATAATCGTATTTTATTAGGTTATAAACTACTATTAATTAAAAAATAGTAAATAAAAATTAAAAATTGTTCTTAAAAATTAACGAACATTGTGATAGTTAAATAAAAATATTGTATATTTGTCAATGTACAAATAGATCATTGACTCAATCCAAAACTAACATTTATTTTAGAAGGTCAGTGGTCCACTAATTTATTGGAAAAAAAAAGAAGACTAGAACCATTGAAATTTTCAAAAAATTAGGGGAGGCAAATATACTAGATACTAGATAAGATAGATTTTAATCAAGTGAGTCAAAAACTTTATTTTTTAATGCTGGGTGGGCCAAAAGTTTTGTTTTTAATGTTGGGTCAAAAATTTTATTTTTTTAATAGGTTTGGATGGATTGTGATAGGTCAAAGATTTAATTTTTTAATAAGTTTGGGTAGATAATGGTAGACTCAAATTTTTTTATTTTAAATGAGTTTAATTTTTTTTAATAAATAATATGGGTCTAATATTTTTCTCTTGAGTTTTAGGTGGGCACAAATAATATATTATATAAATATATAATATATATATCTAATAATTTGAAGTTGTGGGGGTGGGGGGGACTTGCCCACCCTGCCCATGCCTCCCTCCGCCCATGCCCAGAACAGAAAACTGAAAAACGAGAGGAGACGAGGCCTATTGAGGTTCCCCATGCCACCAAGGAAATTTCACATGTAAAAGCTGCAATGTCCACAAACGGATGATAAATAAATTTCAGATGTTTGAAATGCTGTGGATACAGAAAATAATTAAATAGAGAATATCAAAGTTCTTCAATTAAACATGGGCAGAGATATGGAAAAATTGAAAAGCCGGTGATCAGAACTCGGCGGGTCAACCAACAACTGGAGAAAGAAAATAGTTCAAAACCTCAGGCGACCATTACAAATCCACAGCTATCTAAAAACGTCTGTCGTCTGTCCAACTGACTTTTAGTGGTGTTATATGTCTTTAATCTTGCAATAAAAAACGTCAGTTGTTCGACGTTTTTTTCTAAACATGTTATTCTAACTTATGTCTTTTTGACTAAAAATTTCTTAAAAAGTGCTGAATTTAGAAAATATTTTGAAAATAACTTTCTTTTAGGTATATTTTTGTACAACTCCATAGGTTGGGTAAAAGCTCTACTCCTACACGGTAATGCTATCATTGCCGTGCACGCAAGGATAGTTGAAAGACGAGGTTTCATTGATAGTGGACGGGCATGAACTTCTGCAAAAGACCAAAGACGGACTGACTTTGTAGTCAACCCACTAAAGGGAAATGAATGCCAATGGCAATGCCTTCCTTTGTATCACACCATATATAAGCATGTACACATGTAAAATCTCTACAATCCCATGCCATGGCACACCTTATGTTACTTGTCTTTTACATTTTGATCAGTATTATCTCCCTTCCATTCCCTGGGGATGCCATTTCTAATTGCAATGGTCCATGTAACACCCTAAATGATTGCGCCGGTCAGCTAATCTGCATTAACGGAAAGTGCAACGATGACCCTGACGTCGGAACCCATATATGTAGTAGCGGAGGAACCCCTTCCCCTTCTAACAATTGTATGCCCTACGGCACTCTTATGTGCCAGGGCAAACGCTACCCTACTTATTCTTGCTCCCCTCCGATCTCCGCATCCACACCGGCCAAACTTACCCTAAATGATTTCAGTCAAGGAGGGGATGGTGGGGGTCCATCGGAATGCGACGATCAATTCCATAGCAACACGGAACGCATTGTTGCGTTGTCCACCGGATGGTTTGCTAGAAAATCACGGTGTCTTAAGATGATACGTATTCAGGCTAGTAATGGGAGAAGCGTGATAGCAAAGGTGGTGGACGAGTGTGACTCGACTCGTGGTTGTGATGAGGAGCATGCAGGTCAGCCACCATGCCCTAACAACATTGTTGATGGATCAGATGCTGTGTGGAAAGCTTTAGGCCTGAATCAGGACTTGGGTGTAGTGGACGTTACTTGGTCCATGGCCTAGGTGTGTGGTCCTGTTAATGAAATGTATGGTTGTCCTATGCTCTTTTTTTTTACATATGCTTTGTGAAATAAGGACTCGAATGTATGACTGTCCTATCGCTCTATTATCTTGTAAGGTATACTATAGTTGATTAGTGTGTTTTGAAATCTATGTACCATCAAGGTGTGATAAATGCATTACCTACGTATAATAAAATGGACGGAAGACTGTTAGATCCAAGTGCCTATTTTGATGTATGGTTTATGGTGCGCTTTTGTGTGCATGAAATCAAACGAGACCGGCTTAATTCGAGACCTATGTGGGTTTGTGAGGATTTATTATGTACAACATGTCAATACTAGGGCTAATTTGTAAGGATTTATTATTTACAACACGTCAGTTCTATGCATGCTAGTTTTTTCATCCTTTTACTTTATGCATGCTGGGGTTTTTTGAACCTCCCTTCTTGGTTTAAGTTGGATGCAAGTTTGATGGTGGGTCATCAAACTTTATGCCATTATGGAGTGGCAGAAATTTTTTCAACCAGCATCAACTTAAAGGGAGATTTTTCAGTGCGGTACGGAAAATTAGAACCTTTTAGAGGGTAAATTACAACTTTTAAGGATAAAGTTTCAACTAATTGAAATTATGCATGATTTATCATAAACATCGTGATTAATTATAAAATGTTATGGTCAATTGCAAAAATAACTTTTTTCGTGACATGATGTATCTGTTAGAATAAGGACAGCCCAATCCGAACGAAGCTGGATAGAGCAGGGAAACCAAGAGAAAACAATCCAAAGATGAGCCCGACCCAGCCATCAGGAAGGGCTTACTCTGAAGTAGGGGTGCAACTTGGGTTGGGAAACCCGATTTCAGTCCGAGCCAACTCGAAAAAATTAGGGTTTGAACAAGGATTTTTAATATTTGGGTTGGACTTGGGTCAAAAAATCTCAACCCGAATTCAATTTGGGTTGGACTTGGGTTAAGGCCTCGTGAACTCGAGTTCAACCCAAACCCGACAAATTTTAAAAAAAATTATATATATATAAAGTATTAGCACTGATTTTTTATTTTTATTCTATTGTTCTCTGTTTCTCTTGTTCTTTTTGCCTCTCTCGTTAAAATTTTTATTGAAGTTATTGGTTGTTAATTTAGGTGAATATTATGTAATATATGTATTAGGTTTAAAACAACAAACTTATTTTGGGCTCTATCAGAATTGAACCCGTAAAGTAACCCAAAATCATCAACCCGAGTCCGCTCGAATTAAACTCCGGCAGTGCTCGGGTTGAGTTCCCCAACCCGACGTAGGGTTAATGTTAGGATTAGAGTTAAAGATTATATACCTAAAATTGGACTAGAATTGATTGTCCAATCTGTCCGAGTTGCACCCCTCCTCTAAAGCAAGATCAGGTCAGCCCACCACAGGCAAAAGCCCATATGACACTCCAAACAGCCCAGCAAGCTTGAGGAAGGATAAAAAGGGAGAATACTTCATTAGGTCCTATCCAGGAAAAAGCCATTAATGCCATGTCACCAGCTTCCAGAAAGGCCACCTCATAAATATTTCTTCTCAAAATCCTAACAAACAGGGGACCACCCCCATCATGACAGAAAGACCACACTAGACTAGGGGTATATAAGCAAACTCTTGCCCTCTAAGGAAAGGGGTCTTGAATCTTGATACACAAAAACAAACTGTAAGTGCCTTCTTTTCAAGCAATACAAATTAATGAGTAAGAGACTCCATTAAAGAGAATTAGTCTAACTCTTTAGTTTGAAAAATCATTTACTTGACTCGCGTCCTTGATAACTTTAACACTCTCACACAGCTCACTTACAACACAGGAGAGCTCTTCAATATCCCTACCTCACACTAGTGATCGATTGTAATTTTTTTTGAGTTATAACCTAACACTCAAAAGTCGCAGCTTGACCGTTTAACTATGTATTTTTTTGTGCAATACCCAAATTAAGTTGAAGACAAATCAAGTATGGCCTACTCAGAAACTAAATCAAGTGTTGCTGTGTCAAGTTTGGCTGAGGCCTCTTTTCTTGTAGTGTCTCTATGAAAGAAGGTCTCCTATACTGCTTTCCAGCTTTCCCAACTCTTTATATCACCCAAAATAGATACAACCAAGCCCAACACTATTCATTTCCAGTTGGGCTCATACCTCCATTGTTTCACTACTGCTGTGCATGCTAGCTAGTACCCACAATCCAAGACCCCAAATTAATCATCATTTTTAATGTGAAAATCATGGTGAAATTTTTTGTTTGATAAATTTTTTATTTACTTCTTAACTGGATAAAATTCATTTTAAATTTCTTTCCCAAACAATCATTTTCTGTGTTGGTGTTAGCTGTTAAAAGTAGTACCAACAATCGGGCTTTTTCAGATAAATAAAAATAAGTCTGGATTTTTTCAGATTCAAACATGTTTTGGACTTGGAGGGACTTTTTTTGATGTTTTCCTTATTTTTTTAACATTTTGACATGCCGGCAAGGAGAGTTTTCATCATTTCCAACCCCAGCTCCTTGCATGGAACGTTGACACTGAACCACCATATACACTTGAAGCCACCTTCCTATGTATTCTTCTAGACCGACATTGGTAGTGTGATGCCAAAGTAACCCCCCCCCCCAAAACCCTCCACCCCGAGAGACACACACACACACACTCTCATAGGGTCAGGCCAATAGTTGAAATTTTTTATGGGATCTAAAGCCTTTTTTGAGATTGAATAAATTTGTTTATTATAAGTTATAATTTTTTATGGCTTCAACGTGATACAATTAACATCTCTTTCTATCGAGAGAATTTGACCGAGGGGATGTATATATTTAAAGAAGAATAGTTGTAGCTTTTTTTGACAATATGTCATATCGTCTTAAATTTTCTCTATTATATATATGTGCTGTTAGATATAAGGATATAATTTTATGCGGAACAGGCAAACGGAGCCCCAAGAGAGCGCCTCACTCGATCGAATTTAGGCCAGCCATGCACACACAGTAGTACTTTTTTCTGAAAATTTGAAGGCCATAGAATGCTCTTTTCAGAAAATTCTCTCTCTAAAAACCTGACCACGAGCCAAAATGAGCTAACTATAAGTTTACCCAGACAACTCTCTGTGCATGGGACATTGTTTTCAACCTTTCTGATAGGGGATGAACTTGGCCTATCCCCCACAAGTAGTACATTCACCATTTTTCCAAGACCTTTATGAAGAATAAAAGTGGACAGCAAAGTTACAGATATGTCTGAAGCCTGCATGCCTGAAGCTTGATAGGGCCAAACATATTTCTAAACGTGGGCATGCTTCATTATTAACTTGACCCATAGACAATTCTTTCAGGAAGAATTTTCTGACTTGATCCCACTGTAGTAATGACTACCCTAATTGTGTGGTTGTTCATGCATGGCTTCTTTTCATGGACCCTACAAACCCTGATGGGATGGGGGTTGCTTTTTCTATCATCAATCACATGTATGGTCATTGGTGACTGGGAATTTTAGCCATACTATGCCTCTGAATTTTCATGTCTCTTAAGGTCTAAATTGTTGAACACCATCTTATTTAATTGCTTAATGTTGAAGATGGATGTAATATAACTGTTTATCTAATACTTTCTCTCACGATAGACCTCTTTTTTGGTGTTTCACGTGTGACTTTTTTAGATTTTGATATCATATTGAATATCATTTACTTAAAAGTTTAAACTCTGAGAGAAGTGTTATATAAGTATTTATCTAATATAAATCAACGCCTTGACACCCTATCTCTCCCCCCGCGCGCGGCACCTCTCTCTCTCTCTTTCTAGCCAAAAACGAGCTACTGAGTGGCAAATGGAAATACCGGCGGTTTTAGTCCTCTCAGGGTTAACAAATAGGGTAAACATATGGACCCAACAACAGGCTGTTAAGTTGACTACCTCCACATCCCTAGTCCATGAAAGAAATGGTAATCACTATCTTCTTGCCATTGGTAAAAAAATATTGGCGTTAGATCATACATGTTGATATCGAACTCTGGTGTTTCTTTGTGTTGGGTTGCACTGGATTATGCCCATCTCAGAAGAAAGTTGAATACCGAATAAGCTTCAAATGTTAATCCTCCGATACTTAAGTTAAAAAAGATAAATATTGATTTCCGAGATGGTTCCCACAAGATTAAAATCGCTCCCTAGTCCTTATTTGGTAATTCCTCATTATCAGATAAGTTTTGTCCTAATTTTCGCTATCTTACTCCTATTCAAACTTGGACGTTTGCCACACTGTCTTAACTGAAATCGAGAAATGGCAAAGCTGAACTGAAACAGGCATTTTGATTTTGTATGCAACTTCAAGTTTTCTCATCCAACTCCTCCCTCCCACCAAAAAGCACATATAAAAAAAAAAAAAAAGAGTTGGGCATGGGAGCATTATTTGAAGATCATGGAGGAGGAAATGCGTTTTTTTTTGCACCGGGGGGAGAGGAGGGATTATTGGGGTTTGAAACTAAGATGGATTTATAAATACAAAATCGTCGTCAAGATGAATCAATAACAAATTAAGTTAATGAATTGTCACTTTTCATTTGAAAAAGTATTAACTTTATCAATAGACGTTCCAAATGAAGAAAATTTTGAATGCTCACCAATGTCAAGTGATACTCATATTCATCGTATAGTGATTATTCACTAACTTCTCTCCTTAACCCTAAAAAAGGTTTTACTTATCTTTACCATTTATAAATATCAGTATATGTAAAAAAAAAATTATTTTTTAATTTATCATTAATTATTATTATAAAGTCAATTCTACCAACATATTTATTTTCATTCAATTTTTATTTTTTATACTCATTTGATTTTTAAGTTCTCTTAAACTCTTTTATTATGAACATTTGACTTCTAAATTCATGTGGACTCATTATTAGTGTACACTTGCATATAGTTTCTTTATCTATATTTATTTATATAAAAAAATAAAGTTCAATTTATATTATATTATTCGATACATATAATTAGCAAATTAGATTTTATTATCCAATAGTGTTTATTTGAATTTTTTTTATGCAACAATATCGTAATACTATAATACAAATAACAGTTTATAATTTAATCAATCTCTTTGAAAAAAAATATATAATAATATATTTAGAGGTATAAATACTCAAGAATTACAATTTTACAATGAAACTCCACTATAAATACATGAGAAAATATTTACAGAAAGTGGAGAGATACCTAAAAATGATAAATTAGGTACTTAAAGGGGGATATAACATATTAATAATTAAGTTTAGTAATAATTAAAATAATATTTAATTATTCAACATATAATTTATTATTTCAATTAATTATAAATATAAATTAATTTATTT